TAGGATGGGTAATGAAAGGAGGAAACAGACAGGATAATTCTAGCAGAAGTAAAATCAGAAAAACTATGAAGGATTGATGATTTGTTAAACCTCTGGGAGAAAAACATATATTGTTTTATAATTGTAGGGTTGTCAAAAAAAATGTCAATTGTGATAATTATTTGTTAATTGTTAATTTATTAATTTAATAACTATACTTTTTAATATTTTTGACATTTTTCATATTTTTAACTCCATCATTAGGCTTTAATCATGATTATTCCACCGCTACTCTGTGATTAAACAGATTTTAAACTGTAATCATTCGACAGGCCTAATTCCAACTAATATTGGTTTGAGGTGAGAATAGTCAATCATTTAATTAATTTCAATGAAAAATCAAAAAACAAGAGAAAGAAAACAATATATAGCACAGCTGTCACCATGTGCAACCAGGAAGGAAAGTAGGAAAATACATTGAAGTTTATTTTTAGAATCACTACGTCACGGTCGACAACAAAAGCCTCATTTTCACTTGACACTACAAACAGTGCGGTGGTGCGGTGGTGCGGAGGGCTCCATGTTCCATTACACTGCTCTCCAGCACATACTGGTTCTTTGTGAAAGGTGTCTCTATGTCTCTGTGTGCAGGCAGAAGTGCTACACTGACATCATCCAGAGCTGGAGATGGGACTTTTTCATGTGTACCAATGCCAAGGAGCAGCTCCGCCGGTCAGCCAGCCTGAGTCAGCGCTGCATACGCCCCAGACACAAACGTGCAAGAATCCATGACGCAATAAATGTTCACAAGTTGCATACAGTATCTTCTCAAAAACCACTTCTCAGCAGCCACAGATTGTGATCGGAGAACAAGTGACATGAATATCTGCCTAGACAAATAAATAGAAATATTTACACATACTACGATCTGCTTATTGGTTAACATTTATTTAACATTGTATTTCATTGACTGATTTTTAATTTAAAAACATTTTAACATATTTGGCTTGTAATCAAAAGTCTTTATGCATTATTTTGCTTGTTATTTTGACTCATTTTATTTTGAGAATCACCATGGTCTTCAGTACAAATTAATTCGAGTTTTGTCCAGGTATTCAGTATCTGTGTTCAGGTATGCCTCTTTGTATAAATACTCTAAAAGTTTGAATTTTTTGATGTGAAAGTCTTTTGTTTTCAAATCTTTACTGTTCATTAACTAATGACAATTGCATATCAGTGAAAAATAAAATCACCTTTTCTATTTATTCCTGTGTCACCTGTTCTGTGTGGTGAACACTAGCACATTATTAATTCCTGCTAGTTCTCATGCAGGTGTCATAACATTTTGTCAGCACCTGGACAATAAGCTTTTGTCATTCTGGCGTAATTACAGCCCGGTCCCTATTATTGGAGATTCAGCAGCGTGACCTGCTGAGATGTCACCCTGCTTTTATAGTATTGTCATTGTCTTTTAAACTGACTCTGAGGTCACTTCACCTGAAGGCATGGAAGGCAGCTCAGAGTCACTCAGCAGAGTTCAATTTGTGTGCTTTTCAGGTGTGCTCGCAGAAAGGTTAGAAGGGGGGAATATTTACCTCGAGCAAACAGCTGCACGTTTAGTCCGCTGCAATTATAAGCTGCTCTTTCTGCAAACTCAGCACACACACTTTATAACATAAGAAAATATAATTGTGACTTTTATCAGGGAACAATTGGTTCCACTGCACTCCCACACAGAGTGGATTTCCTTCCCTGCAGATACTCTATCAACAAATGCCCGGTGTGTTTCGGTTTACTAGAAACCAGGAGCAGATAAGAGTCTGATAACATGAGCGCTATCGTCAGAGAAGGCCGGAGAAAAGAGGCGATGTACCAAAAAGTGTGCCGTAGGAGTTGCTACACACTGGCGGTCACAAGGCTGAAGCCTGAGAAAAAATCTGTTTGGACAGTATCGCCTTTGTAAACTGCTATCTACAGTCATTTAGGTTTAAGAAATACAGTGAAGTAAATAGCACAAGTCATAATGACATATGTTAAAATAATAGAAAATCCCGTTTGCAGAAAATGTTGAAATACAAAATGAAAACAACCTCAATTATGTGCTTTGTTTGTTTTTATTTTGTGTTTTCAAATTTTGGATCCAGTCACAGGCTGGACTGGACAGATTTGGCCTCTGGGCAGCCAGTTGGTGATGAGTGAAGTAGAGTTTTGCTGAGAGTTTAAGGGACAAAAAAATGCAAAAATTTAAATTTTCAGTCGCCAAGTTGAAGTAAAGTGACATTTAAAAAATGCAAATATAACCTTGTCTCAATTCTAGCTCTTTTGTGGACGTATATATAAATGTTTTTGGGTGCATTACCAAATAACAGGATTGGGTGTTAAACCTTGTCTACCAAATTTGGTTTTGTTTATTATAATTCTGAAATATCCATCTCTACAGGTTTTTCTTGTATTCTTTATGGTAAAGCCATTTCTATGTGTCTTCACTGCTTCCCTTAGACGTTAACACCAAAGCCACTGGGAGCTGTTGTGGTCCAGTGTGGAGTATCACAGAGGTGTGAGAAGGTCCCAGCGGAGAATATAAGCACATCCATCTGACGGTGTCAGAGCCTTGATAAGTCCTGTTTAAACTTTAGCCTTTGCAAAATGCAGAGAGTCAACAGTTGCCAGTGACAAGAGCTCTGTGATGTGTTTAGAGTCAACACAAGGGGCTGCCCTCTCATCTACCCAAGACGCTCACTGACACTGGACCATGGCACAGTCCAGATGAGTATGGAAAGAGTTGAGTAAAAAAAAAAAAGAAAAAAGAAATTACACTTGAGGTATCCGGAAGGAAAGTTCTGGTAGTTTGCTGAAAGTATTTTTCTTGCACTTCTCAGCTGTGTCTGGGGCAGTTGGCGCTAGTTGTGGAAAGTCTCAGACGGGTGAGATGCCGACAGTGAGCGCTTGAAGCTGCAATCTCACATTGGCACACTATTTATCACCTGGTGAGTTCTTCTAATTCTCTGTGGTTTCCACATCAAATCATTTAAACACATTGGTGCAATTAGAAGAGAATGCAACAAATCAGTTTTATCTTGACATTCGCCAACTCTCTGAAGCGTCGATAAAATATGCAGACTCTATATTCACTGATTTAATACGGATTTAAATGCATGGTAGGGAGTGTTTTTAACATTTTGAGAAAAAATTGCTGTATACCTAAGAGGTTTAGCAGAGACTATAAAACAATCCATTGCACATATACTTCATCTGCTACGTTTTTTTTGTCATGAGGGGCTCGCTGCTCAAACATTTGCAGTGGAATTTTGAAGAGCTACAAAAGGTGGAAGACATGATTTGGCAGTTTACCCTCAGTGTTTGTCTCGAAATTTTGACGCCATGGCTCGAAGTCAAGCTGAGAAATTTCCCAAGGCTAGCCCGGCCCGCAGGCGGATGCTTCCTGCTTAAGGTGGGTGCCCGGGCCCTGAAGACCTAAGGTGTTCACCGCCGCCTCCTCCCTCTCCCCTTATTTGGCGATGCGTCAGTCTGCAGGGCACCTCGGACCCTCTGCAGTCCGCACCGCGGGGGCACGAACATGCCCAGCCACACCTCTGATGTCTCTGTGTTAGCCACCACTGGGGTTTCCTCCTCTGTTTGTCGAGACCTCACAGCATCGAGAGTGACAGAACCTCCCACAACAAACATCTCCATTTAAAAATACTTCTAGTGAGACGGATGTTCGTCAGGTTTGCACATACAAAAGATGTGTTCAACTCAGAGCAACTATCAGAGCTGGTCATTAGTTTGACTTTGAGAGCACTTTGAATTTAAATGATAAAAAAAAACTGTAATTATAGATATTAAATGGCGATACAATAAGGATTCACAGGCCATATGTTTTTACTTTTCTTCCCTGTTTTTCTCTGACTTCAGCTGTGAAGAAACAACATTTCTGCACTCGTGTGTGCTGGGCTTTTTGAATGGGGGGCAGTCTTTCAGGGCATCCTGCCGCAGAAACCACCAACTATTGAGAGATGGAGCAAAAACAGCAAGTTCACCTCTGTGACTGGCATATCAAACGTTGATTTATTTAAATAAAAATGTCACACTCTGTGAAGAGACTATAAAGAGTTCATATGAATGGAAACCTGACCTAAACTAGCTTCGCAGGATTATTTTCAATATGTTTTATTTATAGCAAAGAGTGTGCTTCACATAACAGGAATGACATAAACATTTTCATTTACTACATGTCATCACTTTACATGGGCATTTTTATGGCTTATAAACAGACCTGTGCTATAAAAAGCACATTTTACATTTTAACCTTGAATATTTTTAGAACTGTGGACTTAGATTTTGAAAAATAAATTATTGTGACTTTAATAACAACTGCCCTAATAACATTTTCTATGCCACAAAAAGACATGCACATATTATTATTATTATTATTATTATTATTATTATTATTATTATTATTATTATTATTATTATTATTATTATGGGAGTAAGTAACGGAGTAAATAAATCGAAAAAAATAAAAACGTTGTCTCGTGTTGACTTTTGTACCGACATAAATAACAGAAAACAAGAAAATCACCTTGTTTCACCACGATTCCTTCACTGACTCAAGAGTTTCTGGGTCATTGTCGTCCCCTATTGGTGCAAGTAGTCAATGAACAGACGCAAACACAGAAGCTGGATCTCCTCTATAGAATTAACCGTCCCTGTGCAACATTATACTACAAGTGTCTTTACACCTCATCGTTACTGAAATAATAATTTAGTGATCGTATTATCTAATTATTTTTGTTGAAAAAAAAATCTAGATGGGTAAGTATGGTAACCGATAGGGACATGATTTCTAAAATACATATTTCTAAAATTTTATTGACAGTTTTTGTGCATTATTATTAAAATTGTTTCACGTATATGAGTGAATTAAAATAATTAATACGTTTCACAAGTTTTTATATTTGATAGTTTTTTTGTTATTACACTGCTGTAATCTCACTGAACTACACTTGTTTGAAATGTCATCACATCGGTGCTAGAATTACAAAACATTCCCTGTATTTAAAATAATATTTCGTTAGATAATTTAGCGTTTTTGAAATCTTAGATGTAGAATTGAGAGCAAAAACACATTTTTAGCGGAAAGGGCAAAAAAAAAAAAAAACCTCTTGATGATCGGGGTTTTTGCTGCTGTTGACTGCAGGACTCCACAGCCGAGTCATATTACGGGCCCGCCCCCAAAACAGATTGAGCCAATCATCTCCTCGCCGTCAAACATAAATCCAGGCTTCGCCCCTTCTGTCCCTATAGACTCCTCAGCCATCCACAGAGCGCGGCAGCTCATACTGTCACCATCCTCTCTGAAGTCACACTTTTTAAGCGTCAAGCATCAGAACGCGACCACGTCTCTGCAAAGTTGTGAAAAGTTTACAAAGGAGCGCCGAAAACTTTTATTTCTATTTTACCCTCTTTCTTCGCTCTAAAAGGATTCAAGCTCGCCACTCAAGCTGCGCGCTCTCTCAAGCAGGCTGTCAGTGCAGCTCCTTGGCATCGCACTTGGATTTGGAGAAGAGGACTTTCTCCCCTGCGCACTTTTTTTTAATCAGTAAAAAGCGGTTCTTTACTTTTTTCGCATGAATCTCCTCGACCCGTACCTGAAGATGACAGATGAACAGGAGAAGTGTCACTCTGACGCTCCGAGCCCCTGCATGTCTGACGACTCTGCCGGCTCGCCCTGTCCATCAGGCTCCGGTTCGGACACCGAGAACACCCGTCCCACCGACAACCACCTCCTCGGGGGTCCTGACTACAAGAAAGAGGGCGAAGAGGAGAAGTTTCCTGTCTGCATCAGAGATGCAGTGTCCCAGGTGCTGAAGGGATACGACTGGACTCTGGTGCCGATGCCAGTGCGCGTCAACGGCTCGAGTAAAAACAAACCTCATGTGAAAAGACCCATGAACGCCTTCATGGTTTGGGCACAAGCCGCACGCAGGAAACTGGCCGATCAATACCCGCATCTGCACAACGCAGAGCTCAGCAAAACTCTGGGCAAACTTTGGAGGTAAGTTGACTTTGTCACATTTATTCAGTCGACCGAGGTGCGTTTACGCACAACTGGTTTTGATAAAATACGCGACCCGTTTGCAATTAAGTTGTGTAAAGTTAATTTTATGTGATTATCTGTTTGCTTTAAAATACATTAGACGCCATTTATTTATTTTTATATTTTGTGATTTACCAGATTATGGCTTCCGATCACATTTTTATGTATTTTTTCTTTATTCAATATTTCATTCTAGATTGCTCAACGAGGTTGAGAAGCGTCCGTTTGTAGAGGAGGCAGAGCGCCTGAGGGTGCAGCACAAAAAAGATCACCCAGATTACAAATATCAGCCAAGGCGGAGAAAATCTGTCAAGAACGGACAAAATGAAGCAGACGACGGCGAGCAGACGCACATTTCTCCGAATGCGATCTTCAAGGCCCTGCAGCAGGCCGATTCCCCTGCGTCCAGTATGGGCGAGGTGCACTCTCCAGAACATTCAGGTGTTTACTCTTCCCATTTTTATTGCTTAGAATTTCTGAGTAGGTTTTTTTTCAGTGTGACATTGAACTTTATCTCCATTCCCACACTTGAAAACATTTGTAAAGATCGGTTGTAGATCTATAAATGCAAACCTAACGTTGTCTTCTCCCATCAGGTCAATCCCAAGGTCCACCCACACCCCCGACCACCCCTAAAACAGACATGCCCTCCAATAAAGCCGAGCTGAAGCGTGAAGGGCGACCCATGCAGGAGGGCGCCAGTCGTCAGCTCAACATCGACTTTGGAGCGGTGGACATCGGCGAGTTGAGCAGCGACGTCATCTCCAACATGGGGAGCTTTGACGTTGATGAGTTTGATCAGTACCTGCCACCTCACAGCCATGCTGGATTGCCCAGTGGAGCCCAGGCGGGCTACACCGGCAGCTATGGCATGGGCAGCTCCTCTCTAGGCCAGGCAGCTAATGTTGGGGCCCATGCTTGGATGTCCAAGCAGCAGCAGCAGCAGCAGCAGCAGCAACAGCAGGCGCCGCAGCCGGAGGACACCCTGCACCCC